CCTGGATGGCTCAGTCAGTTAAGCAGCTGCCTTCGGCTCAGGTCATGATCCCAGGGTCCTGGGATTGAGCCCCGCATCGGGCTCCCTGCTCAGCAGAGAACCTGCTTCTCCCTTTCCCTCTGCCGGCCACTCTGCCTACTTGTGCTATCTCTCTGTCAAATAAATAAATTTTTAAAAAAATCTTAAAAATATATATATATATAAATACAGGTGATTACATAGAAATATTTATAGACATGTGTATACACTGGGGTTACAATACGTACACATATTTCCTCGCTCTTTTAGCTGAGAGCAATGACACCTTAGTAGCAGAGCACACATAACACCCAGATCTTGGTTTCTAGTACATTTCCCAATAAAAGGATCCAGGGCTTCTTGGAGAAATGGCTGATTCTATGACTGAAGCTGGAAATACACAAGATGAGTCTGGAGCATCTTGTAGTGCCAGAAAGTAAGGTAGTGCTGAAAACAAAATCAACTCCCAGCCCCAAGTATGGGGGGTATGTCAAGGGATACAGGAGCCAACTGAAAGAACTCTCAAAGGCTAGAACAATTTAGGGGCGCCTAGGTGGCTCTGGCAGTTAAGTGGCTGCCTTCAGCTCAGGTCATGACCTTGCAGTCCTGGGATCGAGCCCCACATCAGGCTCTCTGCTTAGCGGGGAGTCTGCTTCTCCCTCTCTCTCTCTCTCTCAAGTAAATAAATAAAATCTTTAAAAAAAAAAAAAAGGTAGAACAATTTAAGCAAGAATATAAAGCAGTACTGGGTTACAGCTCAATGTAAAAAACAAATATCCATGAGTCCTTACTGATATGACTGATTGAGTAAATAAATAAATAGGGGAGAAGAAACAAATCTCCCATGCAGAAGAATTCCAAATAATTTATGTAAATATTATGCTCTAAAAACAAGGAGCATAAGTCCCCAATCCTTAAGTGTGAACTGTGCACAGTGACTTTCTTCCAAATAGAACAGTCTGAAAAAGGGTAGAAGGATTAACAGTGGAGAAACCTGACAAACGCTACCTCAGCCAGATGACCAAGGTCAACGACAGCAGTGCTGAGTCATGCTCATGGCATGTACCCTTGATAGGATATGATGAGAATGGCATTACCACTGTAGTCCTCCGCCCCAAAACCCAGAACTCCACTTTAATTATAAGAACATCAGGCACATATCACATGAGGGACATTCTACAAAAGACCTGACCGGTACTCCTCCAAACAATCAAGGCCATCAAAAATAAGGACACACCGAGAAACTGTTACAGTGAAGAGGAGCCCAAGGAGATGCAATGACTAAATGTAATGTGGCGTCCTGGATGGGATCCTGGAATGGGAAAAGGGACATTAGGTAAAAACTAAGGAAATGTGAGTAACGTATGGACTTTAGTTAATAATACTATTATCAGTATTTGTTCATTAATTGTGACAACGTAGCATATTAATGTAAGATGTTAATAGTAAGGAAATAGGTATGGGGTATATGGGAACTCCGTAAGATCTTTCAATTTTTCTGCAAATCTAAAACTATTTTAAAGTTAAAAGTTTATTTTAAAAAACTGTATTATATGGGACACCTGGGTGGCTCAGTTGGTTAAGCGACTGCCTTCGACTCAGGTCATGATCCTGGAGTCCCGGGATAAAGTCCCACATCGGGCTCCCTGCTCAGCAGGGAGTCTGCTTCTCCCTCTGACCCTCTTCCCTCTCGTGCTATCTCTCACTCTCTCTCTCTCAAATAAATAAAATCTTTAAAAAAATAAAAATAAAATAAAAAACTGTATTATCATTTCTCACTTTTTGTATTATTGGCAAAAATTTCAAAGTTTAACGAGGGTTGTTGCTAAGACTGAGGGTGCAATCGGTCCTCTCATACATTGGTGTGGGAATGCAAATTGTGTGATCCCTGTGGAAGCGATTCTGGCAATGTCTAGCAAAATTACATACGGATTTACTCCTCAACTGGCTGTGAAGAGACTGAAAAAAGGAATGGGTGCTACCTCCATTCAGAGCCACAGCTTTATATTCAAGATATCTTACTGAGTGATAAAAGGAAGGTGTACTTTTTATCTTAAGATATACACATATATGTATTTACTTATACGAAAGGTAAATCAAAAACAAGAGAGTTTCTTGTTTCATTCTTCTCTCCTTCCAGGGAAGGAGAGAAGAATGAAGAGTGAGTGTGAATGACAGCTGTACTGTCATTCTAAGACAGTACCTTTTTCTGTAAGAAAAAGAATACCTTTTTCTGTAGCTTGGACTTTGGAACCATGTGAATGCCTTATAAATTTATGAGACAAAATTAAATCAAAATTGAAAACCATAATGAGGGGTGCCTGGGTGGCTCAGTGGGTTAAGCATCTGCCTTCAGCTCAGGTCATGATCCCAGGGTCCTGGGATCGAGCCCCGCATCGGGCTCCCTGCTCAGCAGGGAGTCTGTTTCTCCCTCTCCCTCTGCTCCCCTGATCTTGCTCTCTCTCTCTCAAATAAATAAATAAAATCTTATTTTAAAAAAACCATAATGAAACAAACAAACCTAACTATTTTGAGATGGGTATCTTAACCACCTGAGAAATTTTTTCAAGCAGATTTAAGCTTGATATTTTGACTGTCTTTTTATCTTCAGAACAAAAGAACTACAGATAAATCTTAAACTGTTTTTTTTAATTATACTCTTGATAATGATGCTGTTATTATTTTGAAATAGGTAGAAATATTTTTTAAATTTTTAATTAATCAAATGATTTCTATTTTTAAAAATATAGCTTGTGAGACCAGAAAATTTATAGTAAAATTTTTGGAAAGAGAAAAACTAAAATAGGTGTTATACATGCCTGAAATGTAGTATAAGTACTTTCACTGCTAATATGCCCCTCTGTTCAGTCATTTGGATACAGAGATGGGGGGGGCGGGTCTTGCCTGAATACAGATAACCTAGAATGATAGGAGAACAGCCAAAGGTAACAGAGAGCAAATATAGGCTGAGCACCCATCACCAGCCTCCACTTTCATCTTAATGCAAGGACGTCAAGAACTACCCAATCACACTGGCCTCTGTAGGGCCACAGGGCCTCTGAAGGACTCTCTCATCCCAATCTGATTTATCTCCCAGTCTTGCCCAGGGCAGTCAGTGGTAGACTAACAAGCTGGTGGTATGGGTCCTTGGATTTCTGCATCACATACAGTGAGGGTTTCTTGGGATAGCCATTCTAGAAATTATTCAGTGGTGGCAACCCCTTTGCAGAAAGCTATGTTCCTTTTCTAAAATTATGAATAATGATATTTGTAATTCCCTCTTAACAGAAAATGGCTTGCAGAAAATGGCTCCTATATATGTGCAATATAAAAAGTTATGATGTGTCTATAAAACACAAGCCATCAAACTAAGCATGATTGACTAATTCCAGGATTTGTTCAGCAAGACTAATTTGTAACTTGGTTCCTACGTTTCATGGTGTCCTCCAATATCCCTGGAATCGAGCTGTAGTAGGTACCAAAAGTACTTAATTTATGAGAGCAAAATAAAATAATCAGCTAAACTGATTTTAGCTGTTGTATCTGTAGACTAACTCAGAACCTGAATGTTACCCAAGAGCACCACTTGAAAACCTGTCCTTACCAGTCAGGCAGAGTACACAGGTGAGAAGACCAACTGCAGCTGAGCCTGCAAAGGTCCGCTAGCTGCATGGGGCACAGAGGAAGGGGAAGAAGGAAAGAAAGGAATATGGCTGGGAATGAGAATCTAGGCTCTGATGATAACATTAATTATAACTGCCTTGTACTAAACCAGGAATTTTACACACACTGTCTCATTTTTATCATCCCAGAAACTTTTTCTTTTTTTTTTTTTTTAATTTATTCATTTGAGAGAGAAAGAAAGCAAGAGTGCGGGGGAGGGACAGAGGGAGAGGGAGAGAGAGACTCCTCAAGCAGACTCCCCACTGACCTCGGAGCCAGATCCCAGGACCCTGAGATCATGACCTGAGCTGAAACCAGGAGTCAGCCACTTAACCAACTGAGCCACCCAGGCGTGCCCCCACCCCCAGAAACTTTCAAGTAGCTTTGATTAAACCAGTATAGAGACGAGCAAACAGGTTTAGAGAGGCTTGGTTAACTAGCCCAAGATCACACATCTAGTAGAAGAAGAAGCCTCAGGATTCAGATCCAGGGTAGTCTGACTCCAAGGCCAGTACTGCCCTTCTCTATTGAAAACAAACAAGCAAAAAATAACATTCAAATGTGGGTTAGAAGACATTTGAAATCTGAGTATTTGATATTACTACTACAACTATGCCTTTTTCAATTCCATTCCTCACCAAACTCCCATCTTATAGTCTGTTTAGCCTCATGGCTCTTGATAAGCCAATAGCACTAGTTACTGTTCTAGTATATAACATTAACAACCCTTGGGGCGCCTGGGTGGCTCAGTTAGTTAAACCGCTGCCTTCAGCTCGGGTCATGATTCCAGAGTCCTGGGATTGAGCCCTGCATCGGGCTCCCGCTCATGCAGGAAGCCTGCTTCTCCCTCTGCCTGCCGCTCCCCCTGCTTGTGCTCTTTCTCTCTCTCTCTCGCGATCTCTCTCTCTGTGTCAAATAAATAAATAAAATCTTTAAACAAACAAACAAAAAAACAACCCTTGGGGTGCCTGGCTGGCTCAGTGGTTAGAACCTGTGACTCTTGATCTTGTGGTAGTGAGTTCAAGCCCCACGTTGGGCACAGAGCTTTTTTTTTTAAGATTTTATTATTTATTTAAGAGAGAAAGAAAGAGCACAAAGAGGGGGAAGGGCAGAAGGACAAGCAGACTTTCCACTGAGCAGGGAGCCCAATGTGGGGCTTGATCCCAGGACCCTGGGATCATGACCCGAGCCGAAGGCAGACACTCAACTGACTGAGCCACCCAGGTGCCCCCACAGAGTTTACTTTAAAAAGAAAAAAGAAAAAAAAAAGGGCAGACCATTCTTTTATATCTTTAAGTTAACCTTCACATTCAAGATACCTTGAAAACCATTTCTTTCCTTTGCATGCTTGGGTACCAGGTAAAATGGCTGTCGTCTCAAGTCGGTTTTAACTTTTGTCCCAAGCCACTGACTGATGGGCAGTCCTTCCTGGGTGCTAGCAGGCCAGCTGCTTTTTGACTCCAAAGCCAGGATTATATCCACAGATATTTCTTTAGGTTTTCTAATAAGAAGTGTTACAGCAGGGCTCCCCCTCTTCTTCCTCTGCATAATGACATCTGTATCTGTTTAAACGTATAAAAGGGGAAGACAGCATTTATCAATCCAATTGTCTGCGAAAAGAATATATCCATCATTGGAAATCTATAAAGTGCTAAGTGTAAGGTGAAATGAGTTCCAAAGTAGAAACTGATCCCAAAAGCAAAGTGTTTTTCCCCATTTAACCAATATTTATCAATACCTACCATAGGGAAGCATTGTCAAAATTCTGTCTGGTATAAATGATGAGGAGCCCCTGGAGACTTTGGGCTTTGGGAGTATTGATTAAGTTTTCACCTAAATGTATGGAGGGAAGCCTGGAGAAAAGAGCAGATGAGTGGCAGAGAGGAGACAGGCAATCGAGAAGACCACAGCAACAGTCCAACACAGAGGGTGTGTGCGTGTGGCACCACAGAGGCAGGGAGCATGAAGACAGAGGGAGCAATCCATGTTCACTGCAGCATTACTCACAACAAGACATGCAACAACCTAAGTGTCAATGGATGGATGAATGGATACAGAAACTATGGTAACTATACACAATGGAGTATCATTCAGCCTTAACTCAGAATATCCTGCCATTTGTGACAACATGGATGGATCTGGAGGACATTATACTAAGTGAAATAAGCTAGATGCAGAAAGGCAAATACCGCATGACCTCACTTTCATGTGGAATCTAAAACAGCAGAATACATAGGAGCAGAGGGTAGGATGGTAGTTACCGGGGATGGGGAGGTGGGGGAAATGGGGGGATGTTAGTCAAAGGGCACAGAGTTACAGTTATGTAGGATGAGTAAGTATAGAGATCTAATGTATAGCATGATGACTGTCATTAATACTACTACACTCAACACTGGAAGTGAGCTCAGAGAGTAGATTTTTGGTACTCTTACCACACACACAAAAGGCAACTATGTGAGAAGGTATGTTAATTTGCTTGACTGTGGTAATCACTTCACTACGTATATATATGTATATCAGAACAGCATGTTGTACACTTTGAATATAGCTGACCCTGGAACAAGATGGGTTTGAAATGTGCAGGTCCACTTAAATGCAGATTTTTCTGGTAAATATAGTACAGTCCTGTAAACATATTTTCTCTTCCTTATGATTTTCTCTTTTTAAGTTTTTAAATTCCAGTTAGTTAACATGCAGTGTAATATTAGTTTCAGGTGTACAATATAGTGATTCAACACTTCCATACAACACCCTGTGCTCATCATGACAAGTGCATTTCTTAATCCCCATCACCCGTTTAATCCATCCCTCCCCATCTCTCTTCTGGTAACCATCAGTTTGTTCTCTGTAGCTAAGAGTCTGTTTCTTTTTGTCCCTTTGCTCCTTATTTTGTTCCTTAAATTCCACACATGAGTGTGATCATATGATATTTGTCTTTCTCTGATGGACTTATTTCCCTTAGCATTATACTCTCTAGCTCAATCCATGTGATTGCAAATGGCAAGATTTCATTCCTTTTTATGGCTAAATAATATCCCATTGTATATATAAATAAATATATATACATTTATAATAATATACATTATATACATATATATACACACACACATATATATATATATACACACACCACATCTTTATCCATTCATCAATCAATAGACACTTGGGCTGCTTCCGTATCTTGGCTACTGTAAATAATACCTCTATAAACACAGGGGTGCAGGCATCTCTTTGAATTAGTGTTCTTGTAGTCTTTGGGTAAATACCCAGTAGTGCGACTGCTGGATTATAGGGCAGTTCTATTTCTAACTTTTTGAGGAACCTCCATATTGTTTTCCAGAGTGGCTGTACCAGTTTGTATTCCCACCAACAGTGCACAAGGGTTCCTTTTACTCCACATCCTTGCTAACATTGTTGTTTCTTGTGTTTTTGATTTCAGCCATTTGACAGGTGTGAGGGGATCTCTTACTGTAGTTTTGATTTGCATTTCTCTGATATTGTCATGATAAACATCTTTTCATGTATCTCTTGGCCATCTGCATGTCTTCTTTGGAGAAATGTTGTTCATGTCTTCTGCCCATTTTTTAATTGGATTATTTGTCTTTTTTGGTGTTGAGTTTAGTAAGTTCTTTATAGATCTTGAATACTAACCTTTATTGGATGTCATTTGCAAATCTCCCATTCAGTAGGTTGTCTTTTAGTTCTGTTGATTGTTTCCTTTGCTGTGCAGAAACTTATTTTGATGTAGTCATTCCTTATGATTTTAACATTTTTTTCTCTAGTTTACTTTATTGTAAGAATATAGTATATAATACATAGAACATACAAAATATATGTTAATCAACTGCTTATGTTATCCGTGGGGCTTCCAGTCAACAGGAGGCTCTAAGTGGTTAAGTTTTGTTAAGTTATACACAGATTTTCAACTATGTGGGGAGGTTGGTGCCCCTAACTACCCTGTGTTCAAGGAACAACTGTATAGTTTTTATTTTTTTTTAAAAGACACAAGTAGCAGAAATGAGAACAATTAAAGAGGTTCAAATCAACAAAACTGGTAGATGGACTGAATCTGTAAGGTAAGAAAGAAGGTAAAAGTCTGGAATGCCATCCCAGGATTTTGACCTGGGAAATGGTTGATGTTGATTTGATTCTTCAATATGGAATAATCAGAAGGAAGAAAGATTGGGATGAAATGCACTTCATTTTAGAAATACTGAGCTCTAGGTGTGTGGAAGACACCCAAGTGAAGATGGCCATAGGATAGGTGGTTGTGGTGGTCAGAAATTCGGGAAAGGAGTATAGAGGAGAGATACTGGCTTTGGTATTGGGAGGTGTACAAGCAGTAGCTAAAACCACTCCCAGATAAGACTTCTGGAAGGGACCACAGTGAGAGAAAAGATAGGGGACAAAGGAGAAAATCCTACAGAATGCCCTCATTTTCTTATTACTAAATTGGCAAAACCCACTTCTTACCCATGATATCCTTCTACCCTCCAATTCCTAGTAAGAAGTGTCCATCTAGGGGCACCTGGGTGGCTCAGTCGTTAGGCGTCTGCCTTCGGCTCCGGTCATGATCCCGGGGTCCTGGGATTGAGCCCCCTATCAGGCTCCCTGCTTGGCAGGAAGCCTGCTTCTCCCTCTCTCACTCCCCCTGCTTGTGTTCCCTCTCTCGCTGTGTCTCTCTGTCAAATAAATAAAATCTTTAGGAAAAAAAAAAGAAGTGTCCATTACCTTTCAAAGGCCACCCCTGCACATAGTGTCTGGATTCCTTCCTTCTCACCTTCTTAAGCAGCTTGTTTTTGTTTTAAGATTTTATGTATTTATTTGAGAGAGAGAGAATGAGAGAGAGAGCACTTGAGAGGGGGGAGGGTCAGAAGGAGAAGCAGACTCTCTGCCAAGCAGGGAGCCCGATGCGGGACTCAATCCAGGGACTCCAGGATCATGACCTGAGCCGAAGGCAGTCGCTTAACCAACTGAGCCACCCAGGCGAAGCAGCTTGTTTTTTGAATTGTTCCCTCTCTCATCATCAGTGGCTGCCCCTTCCCTACTGGATCACTCCTATCTGTATACAAAGGGTTCCAGTATTTCTCATTCTAAAATATACCTCTCTCTTGACCCCACCCTGCCTCTTCCCCACACTGACCCATCTTTCTGTGTCCTTTACAGCTGAGACTTTGTAAAGATATGCCTACACATGCTGTCTTTACTGCTTCCCTGCCCTTTGTCTCTTGTGTGCTCAGGACCCCACTGGAACTGCTAAGTCAAAGTTACCAAAAAACCCCACAAAACTGTAGACCAAATCCAATAGTTTCTGGACATCAGTAGCACTCTATACACTGACTGCTCATTCTGAAAAACACTTAGTCTCCTTATGCTCCTTCTCTTCTTCCCAACCTCTAATGGGATCTTCTTACCACTCTACTTAACACTGCAGCTCCCCCTCCCCCATCCTATCCCCAACACTCTTGATCCCTCTCACTTTGCTATACTTTTTCATCATAAAACTTACTACTTTCTAGTATATAATTATGGTTTCCATTTGTTATTAATTGTATGTCTGCCCTTATATAACTATAAGGTACAGAAGGGTGAAGGTCTTCATCTATTTATTCATTGCTGTATCCCAAACACCTAGAACATCTGGCACATTAGATGATCCATCGATACTGATTCATGAATAAATGAATCAACTCTCTCTGCCAACGTGGTCTCATTCATTGTCAATGCCATTTATATGTTTACATATAGCCCAAACATATCCTCTGAACTTCAAACCCATATCCAATAACATACTTGACATACTCACTTCAGTGTATCACAGGAATCTCTAACTTAAAATATCCAAAGCCAAACTCCTCTAATTCATACCTCAAAATACATTCCTCTTCAGTCTTTCCCATCTTAGAAAATGGTACAATCAATCCACAGAGGTGCTCAGTCAGAAGACTGGAGGCCTTCCTTAATTCAATCATTTCTCTCAACCCCTACAGTTAATCCAGAAGTAAGCACTGCTCTAAGCTTGGATATGTCTGCTTCTCTCCATCCCCACCTCCATGTAAGCCACCACTATCTTTCACCTGAATTACTTCAATATTTTCCTTTTTCTTTCTTTTTCCTTATTTGTCTTTTTAGAATATATTCTCCAGAGAAGCCAGAGTGAACTTCTAAAAATACAAAGCCAATCATTATTCCTTAATTAAAACCTGAATGAACATGAAATCAATCTGAATTCATTTCCAGGATCTACAAGTCCTTGCACAGTCTGGCCCCTGGCCACCTCTTCAACTTCATTTCATGTCACTCTTCCCCTTGTCCACATAGGCCTCTTTTTGTTCCTTGAGCTTGCCAAGCTCTTTTCTGCCTTGGGGTCTTACTCCACCCCAATTGCTACTACTTCTCCCAGTTCATTCCCTTCAGAGCACACAGTGCAATTTGTGTTTACAAGCTTCAAGAGGCGATCCCAGTGATTTTATGCAACCACATGTACCCAGTGGCATAAGGCAGCTGTCCAGTGAATATTCAATGGAGACCAAAATAGAACTAATCAACATTTAGGAAGAATGCCAAGAAATTCCAGTAAACTAAAATCAAGAGTGAAGAGTTGTTTCCAGGACGTAGTGATGTCAAGAAAGATCAGAAGAGGATCCTTTTGTAGTTCATAAGTGTGATGATTGGGTATTCACGCTGTTGTGTGACATATGCCTCCCTCAAACCTGTTATGACCTCGGCACTTTACCTGTCTGATGTGGAAAGAAAAAAATCAGGAGAGGAGTGTACATTGGCAATTAATAGGTATGATTAGAACTTTAAGAATCAAAAGTCAAAAAATCTTACCTTGAATGTTTTTAATTTCTTCCTTAATGATCTTCCTAAACTTGAACAGCATCTTAGAAGCTGATAATATTTCATCTTCTAAAAACTGACTCAGAGGATTTCCTTTGGGATTTCTTTTGAACTTCACAAAGTAAAAAGCACCGCTGTTGCAATATTCTTCTAGCTGAATTCTGGGGACCTCCAGTTTGAACATTATATCAAATTCATTAGGAGCAGAAATCTAAGAAATAGTAAAAATAGCACTGAAATGTTGGTTTGTGAATATTTTCCAAGCAACTGAAATTTTTTTCTTGAAATGTCCACTTAACACCCTACTTTGAAAAGCAAGATTCCTGGGGCGCCTGGGTGGCTCAATCGTTAAGTGTCCGCCTTTGGCTCAGGTCATGATCCCAGGGTCCTGGGACTGAGGCCCGCATCGGGCTCCCTGCTCCACGGGAAGCCTGCTTCCCCTTCTCGCACACCCCCTCTTCCACTCCCCCCTCCCACTCCCCTGTCACCCACTCCACTGTCTCCCACTCCCGTCTCCCACTCCCCTGTCTCCCACTCCCCCTGCTTGTGTTCCCTCTCTTGCTGTGTCTCTCTGTCAAATAAATAAAATCTTAAAAAAGAAAAGCAAGATTCCTAAGATTTATATCCTCTGGAAGTGGGATTAGTGGAACTAGGAGAGTATTATTGTTTTGGTTTGTAGATTCCACACTTTTTTTTAACCAAGAGTATGCATTATTTTTATAATTTAGAACAATTTTAAATGATATGCAAGCTTTTAAAATCCTCACCAGCTTTTTTCTGAATTTAAAACTTAATAAAATAAGGGTGCCTAGGTGGCTCAGTCATTAAGCGTCTGCCTTTGGCTCAGGTCATGGTCCCAAGGGTTCTGGGATCGAGCCCCGCATCGGGCTCCCTGCTCAGCAGGAAGCCTGCTTCTGCCTCTCCCACTCCCCCTGCTTGTGTTCCCTCTCTGTGTTTCTCTGTCAAATAAATGGATAAAATATTTTTAAAAAACCAAAAACTTAATAAAATTAAAAACCAATAAGGTGCTATGTTTTATGTCACAAGATACTGCAGCCACCCTCCTGTCACAATGGTCTAAAAAAATGTGTGTAGTCATGTGCTGGCTAGTTGAGCAAAGGCCATCTTGTTAGAGCTGCTGGTCACCCAAGTAACTGTGAGTGCCAAGTCATGCACTACATTAGTGTCTTTGAACCACAGCATTTTAGGAGCTTCAAAGAATCATTTTCATCCTCACAATAATAATATATGAATCAGCAATCAAAAATGATTATTTTTCTTATATTAAAAATAGCACAGGGCACCTGGGTGGCTCAGTTGGTTAAGCAACTGCCTTCAGCTCAGGTCATGATACCAGGATCCTGGGATCGAGTCCCGCATTGGGCTCCCCCTGCTCTCTGGGGAGCCTGCTTCTCCCTCTGCCTGCCACTTCCCCTGCTTGTGCTCTCTTTCTCTGTCAAATAAATAAAATCTTTAAAAATAAATAAATATTAAAAATAGCACAAATCTTTCATTAGGAGCATGCTTCAAGTACAGCTATTGGACTGTACTGTTCAACAGCGTACCTAGTAGCTATATATACCTACTGACCATATGAAATGTGGCTAGTCCAAATTGAGATGTACTGTGCTGTATATTGAATTGTGTCCTCCCAAAATTCATACAGTGAAGCCCTAACCCCAAAAGTGACTGCACTTGGAGACAGGGCTTTTAGACCGTTAAATGAGATCATGAGGGCAGGGTGCTAATCTGATAGGACTGGTGGGAGGAGAAGGAGGTGGAGGAAGAGAAGGAGAAGAAGGGAGATCCCTTTCTCTCTGCCCACATGCACTGAGGAATAAAGTGAGGATACAAGGAGAAGGTGGCTGTCTACAAGCAAGAGAGTCCTCACCCAAACCTAACCATGCTGGCACTATGATCTTGGACTTTCAGCCTCCAGAACTCTGAGAAAATAAATTTGTGTTGTTTAAGCCACCCAGTTTATAGTGTTTTTGTTATGGCAGCCTGAGCTGACTAGGGTATACTATGAGAATCGAACACTTGGGAGTGATGTCAGTGGGAATGAAGTAAGAGCCTCTGAAAATTCACTCTTCCACATAAGTAACAAGAACATGGGCCAGATTAGTCAATTCAACTTTTTCAGATCTGTATATTAACCAAGAGCTTGCAACAATCCAAGGAGGATTTATTCCAGAAAAATGGCTGAATCCCAATAGGAACTGTGAGCTTTGTGGGCACTGCCCTATTCTCAGCCCCAGAGCACAGAAGGTTCTCATTCCCATTCCCTCTCAGAAACCCTCCACCGAGAGTAGCTACTATTCCGACTTCTTACACCATAGATTAGGCTCACCTGTTTGGAAACACCATATAAACTGAATCATTTAAAATGTATTCTATTACATCTGACTTCTTTTGTTTAACATTACGTTTGTGAGATTCATCCATATTGTTATGTGTATTGGTAGTTTGTTCTTTTTCATCTTATGCAGTATTCTACTGGATTAATGGAATATATCAGAATATATTTACTTATTTTGTTATTAAGTATTTGGGTTAACAGTCAAAACTGTTCTGAGCACTCTTAGATATGCCTTTTGGTGGACATGAGCACTCATTTCTATTGTGTATATACCTAGGAGTAGAACTGCTGGACCACAAAATAAGCATATCTTTAACTTTAGAAGAAACTGTCAATTTTCTAAAGAAGTTATACCAACCTATCCTCTCTTCATCAAGTAAGGGTGTTTCAGTTGCTCCACATCTTTTCCTAAGATGGAATTGTCAAGCCTTTTAAAATTTTAGCCATTCTGGTGGATAGATGTGTGGTAGAATCTCATCATGATTTTAATTTACATTTTGCTGATGATTAATGATGTTGAACATGTTTATTGTTACTTGGATTATATACTAAAGCATCTATTCAAGTCTTTTGCCCAATTTTAAATTGGTTTGTCTTTTTCTTATTGATTTGTACTAGTCCTTTGTCAAATATACATATTGAGAGTAACTTCTTCCAGGCTGTGGCTTGCATTTTCATTCTCTCAATGGTGAGAAGAAGTTCAATTCTAATGAAGTCCAATTTATCTATTTTTATGGTTAGCAATCTTAGTGTCCTATTTAAGAAATATTTGTACATCCCATTGTTATGAAGATATTCTTCTCTGCTTTCTTCTAGGAGCTTTGTTGTTTTACCCTTCATCTTTAGGTCTATTTTATATCTTGAATTAATTTTTGTGTATGACGTGTGGTAGGTGGGTGTCACAGATATCCAACTGACCCAGTATCGATATTGAAAAAACCATCCTTTCTCCCACTGAATTACACTATGCATATATTTTGTACTGAATTGAATTATATATGCAGGTCTGTCTCTGGACTTCCTACACAATTGGCTTATTTGTCTATCATTGCACCAATAATAACTGCTTAATTAGGGTAGCTTTATAGTAAGTCTTGCTCTTTGATAGGGTAAGTCCTCCAACATTTTCTCCTTTAGAATTGCCTTTTATTCTAGGTTCTATGCATTTCTTTTTTTTTTTAAAGATTTTATTTATTTATTTGACTGAGAGAGAGACAGCGAGAGAGGGAACACAAGCAGGGGGAGTGGGAGAGGGAGAAGCATGCATGGGACTCGATCCCAGGACCCTGAGATCATGACCTGAGCGGAAGGCAGTCGCTTAACCAACTGAGCCACCCAGGCACCCCTTTCACTTCATTTTCATCTCATCTCATTTCATTTCAATTTCTTTTCTTTTCTTTTTTTTTAGATTTTATTTATTTATTTGACAGAGAGAGAGAGAGAGAGACAGCGAGAGAGGGAACACAAGGAGGGGGAGTGGGAGAGGAAGAAGCAGGCTTCCCGCTGAGCAGGAAGCCCGATGTGGGGCTCGATCCCAGGACCCTGGGATCATGACCTGAGCCAAAGGCAGACGCATGACCGACTGAGCCACCCAGGCGCCCCTTCTTTTCATTTTTTTAAGTAGTCTTCATGCCCAGCATGGAGCCCAACATGGGGCTTGAACTCAAGACCCTGATATCAAGACCTGAGCTGAGATCAAGAGTCAGATGCTTAACCGACTGAGCCACTGAGGCAACCCCCCTTTGCATTTTCATGTAAATCTTACAATTAACTTGTCAATTTAAACAAAAAATTGATGGGATTTTGACTGAATTGCACTGAATCTATATAGATCAATTTGAGGAAAACCGAACATGATATAGATTTCCATTTATTTAGTCCATTTTCAAATTTACTCAGCAATATTTTGAAATTTTTATCATCTTTAGCAAGATTTATTCCTAAATATTTGATGTTCTTGATACTATTGTAAATGGCATTTTTACATTTCATTTACACTTTTTTGTTTTTAATAAAACAAAAAACTTTAGTTTTTGTTTATTGACTTTGTATCCAGCAATCCTGCTAAATTCACTGATAACAGTTGAACAACAGATTTGAATTGGGTGGGTCAACTTATACATGGTTGTTTTTTTTTAACAGTACAGTATTATAAATGTATTGTGTCTTCCTTATGATTTTCTTAATAACATTTTCTTTTCTCTTCTTTATTGTAAAATACAGTATGTAGTACATATAAGAGACAAAGTATGTGTTACTGTTACTGTTCATCAAAAAGTCAGTCAACACTAGGCTCTTAGTAGTTAAGGTTTTGGGGAGTCAAAAGTTATATGCAGGGGCGCCTGGATGGCTCAGTCCGTGAAGCCTTCGGCTGGGGTCATGATCCCAGGGTCCTGGAATCGAGCCCCACATCGGGCACCCTGCTCAGCAGGGAGCCTGCTTCTCCCTCTCCCTCTGTCTATTGCTCCCCCTGCTTGTGCTCTCTTTCTCTGACAAATAAATAAATAAAATCTTTTAAAAATTAAAAAAAAGTTATATGCAGATTTTTGACTGCATGGATGGGGAAGGGTTGGTGCCCCTCGTCCCTGTGTTGTTCAAAGGCCAACTGCATTTCTAATAGTTTATACAAAAATTCAATCAAGTCATCTGCATAAATAGGTATTATTATTCCTTTTCTGATCTTACGCATTTTACTTCTTTTTCCTGCCTTGTTACGCGGGCTCTGTGTATTCCTTTACCTCCTCTTTTTTTGTTCAACATTATGATTGTAGGATTCATTCACATTGTTGCATGTGGCTGTAGTTTATTTCTTTTCTTTACTGGTTAATGTACTACTGGCTAAAATCACTACAATTACTTGATTTCTATATAACCTTCCACTTAGCCCAAACTATACGATTGGTAAACTGCGAAGAGACAAAGAGAACATTATGAAATGGCAATTACACAGAGAATTTCTATAAGAAATCTTCCAAATTTTCACCTAGAACTTGACAATATTACAATAAAACACATGAATAAAAATGTGTCAATGTGAAACTAAGTAAATAAATTATTGAGAGGTGTGTCTATCCTTTTTATCAGTTTCAAAGAGTTTGGAATCTAATTTTGAAATCCAAGTGTATACATAACAGAAGAAAATACACCAAAATGATAACAGTGAATAAAATAAACAGGAATAATATTGCTCTTCTATATGCTTTTCCTAACTTTCCAGGGACATTAACATGGAAAAGGAGCGAATATGGGAAAGGCTGAGAAAAGTGGTGGGGGGTGGGTAGCTGTGGGAGCCTGCTGGAAGATTAACTGCTGGAGCCAGGCAGTGAATCAACTCTACAATAAAAATGTAACAGTTTTAAAAATCAATATATGTTTTAAGTAAAACAAATTTCATTTAATTTCTTCCATCAGTGTATGATTTTAAAAAAGAGGGGCACCTGGCTGGCTCAGTCAGAAGAGGGCATGACTCTGCATCTCAAGGTTGTAATTCAAGCCCCACTTTGGGTGTGGAGACTACTTATGTAAGTTAAACTTTTTTTTTTAAAGATTTTATTTATTTATTTGACAGAGAGAGACACAGCGGAACACAAGCAGGGGGAGTGGGAGAGGGAGGAGCAGGCTCCCCAATGAGCAGGGAGCCCGATGCGGGCTCGATCCCAGGACCCTGAGATCATGACCTGAGCGGAAGGCAGACGCTTAACGACTGAGCCACCCAGGCGCCCCAGTTAAACTTTTTTAAAAGTAAAAAATAAAAATAAAAAGACGACTGGTTCTGGGGCACCTGGCCTGGCTCAGTCAGTAGAGTATGCCCCCACTCTTTATCTCAGGGTCCTGAGTTCAAGCCCCACTTTGGACGTGGAGCTTACTTAAAAAAAAAAAGACTGGTTATGACTGGAAACTTCTTTAAACATGTTATTGTTCCTTCCAAATGACTGCACTGAATGATATTTATGTAATAAGAATCATACTTAAGCCAGACAATCTAAAGAAAATTTTGCTCACTTGGCTTTCAAAATACTTTAGATGGAATTATATAGTCTTCAGTGCTAAAAGAGTTTAAGATTCAAAGACTGATACATACACTGTCTTTTTGGCAATAAATAAATATTACTGAGTCCACACCAATAAAATGGGGGGCTGTTTAGGCTACAATTTATGTAAAACATTCTGTGACAATGGAGTTTACAATCCAGGTGGCAAGCCAAAAGAAAAATATATGAAAGGTTTAATTTCCACCAAAAGCTACCAGGTTAAATGCTTATCATGGGAATGAAATCTGAATCTGCTACCCTGAGAAAGCAGAGGTCTTGAGAAAAATCACTCATCCTTTTTTCTTGAGCACATTCATTCATTCATTTGAATACTTGCTATGTGTTAAGGCTTAGAAATACAAAGATGCATAATATTTGGCCTGCTATCTTAAGAGTTTATAATTCTAAAAACCTAAATCTAGAGTTTAACAATCATTTACTTCTGAAGGAGAGCAGTTAATTGAATAAAGCCAATATGTAACTATAAAATAAATTACGATCACCTAAAGGCTATCAGCCTCTATTTCTGTTCATGCTACACCCAAGATTTTACAGATCTACTGAAGGTGCACAGCCCAGCCCTGAAAAAACTGACAGATTAGGTGAAAACACAACTAAGGAAATCTGCCACTGGGGGCGCCCGGGAAGCTCAGATGGTTAAGCGTCTGTCTTCAGCTCAGATCACGTTCTGAGGGCCCTGGGATCCCGTGGGCTCCCTCTCAGCGAGAAGTCGGCTTCCCCCTCTCCCTCCAACCGCCTCTTCCCACCGCACCCCACCCCCGGTTGTGCGCGCGCGCTCGATCTCTCTCTCTCATGAATAAATAAAATCTTTTTTTTTTTTTTTAAGATTTTATTTATTTGACAGAGAGAGACACAGTGAGAGAGGGAACACAAGCAGGGAGTGAGAGAGGGAGAAGCAGACTCCCCGCTGAGCAGGGAGCCCAATGCGGAGCTCGATCCCAAGACGCTGGAATCTTGACCTGAGCCGAAGGCACACGCTTAACGACTGAGCCACCCAGGCGCCCCGAATAAATAAAATCTTAACAACAACAACAACAACCACAAAGGCCACCACTGGTCAGGAAAGAATCTCCAGTCAGGAACCTGCTCCTAAATCTTCAATTCATACTGGAACGAAGACTTTAATAGCTCACCTACAGGGGCGCCTGGGTGGCTCAGTTGGTTAAACGACTGCCTTCGGCTCAGGTCATGATCCTGGAGTCCCAGGATCGAGTCCCACATCGGGCTCCCTGCTCAGCGGGGAGTCTGCTTCTCCCTCTGACCCTCTGACCCTCTTCCCTCTCGTGCTCTCTATCTCTCACTCTCTTTCTCTCAGATAAATAAATAAAATCTTAAAAAAAAAAATAACTCAGCTACACACAAACAAACGGAGCCGTGGACTACATACCCTAAAACAGTCACACTGTATGTGTATTTAGGAGGAACGCTTCTTAGGATCTGTAGATTTTTTCTTAATTTTTTTAAAAAAATCACTCACTGTGAGGTTCCCAGGACATCTGTATAAGAAACTGGGGAAAGAGAAAGTCCGCAAGGGCTGGGGAACTCACTGAAGATGTTCTTCCTATAGTTTTTCCCATAGGAAAAATGTTCCTAGATACACTAATTTTGTGGAATTTTTCGCACTCTTAATTATCCAAGTCATAACTTGACTAGGGCACACCAAGTATAGCACTGTTACAGAAACTCATTACAAATCTGCTTGCATGAATGAATCTATACGCTTTCATTCCCCCCAACAGCAGTGTCTTGACAGTAGTTGGCAACCAATATTGGTTAGCTGTATGTTCGTTGGATGTATAGATGGATAAACGAACAACTGATCCTCTTTTTGGTTGGAACTATGTCACAGGCCACAAGAGAACAAGAGTCTGGGTTACTTCCGAAGGGCAGTGAGGGACCGCGCGACCCGCGGGAGTTGGGACTATTGGGCAGGCCGGGGACACTGGCAAGGGAGTCGGCGGGAGGAGAGGCGCGGGGCAGCTCACCTTCACGCGCTCGTAGTAACTTCCGGTGCGCAGCAGCGAGACCCCTTTGAAATCAGACTCACAGCTCTGCAATCTCCGCAGCAGGCGGTCCACAACCCTGTTCACAATCTCCGCCGCCACTGAGATTTCCTCGCGCCTCAGCCTCAACTTTTCCAGCACCGCTCGGGGCTTCCAGGCGCCAGGCGCCTCCCTCTTCTGCCTCAGACTCCACTCTGGAAGAAGCGGGCCGAGGCCGGAGACCTCCGTGGGCTCTGGCAAGTCTCTCTGCTCCTGAGCGGCGCGCGCGTCCCTCTCGCGGCGAGATCCGGTCCTGAGAAGGTGCTGCCCGGAGGCCGCAGGAGACGCCAGCTTCTCCGCCGGAACCGCCAGCCCCTCCACCACGTCCTCAGCGCCCAGAGGCGCCTTTTTGGCGCGGACACTCCGAGCGCGCACCTGTGGTCTCTCCGTGGAGCCCGGGGCACTCTTCTTCCGCCGGGATCCAGATGCCCCGACGGGGCCGCACTTCTGTGCTTTGGGCCCGGCGGCACCAAGGGCGGCCGGAGATTCGCTGGGCTCACCCCGGGGACCCTTCTCTCCTTGCGCCAGAACCTTGGGGGTGGCGGCTCTGGCCTTCGAAGCTCTCCGCGTGGCATTTCCGCGCCGGGGATCCATGGCCGGCGCTCTCTATTCCCCGAAAGGAGGGAGACTCGGCTTGTGGAAAGGCCACGGGAGGAGGAGCCGGCAGTGGCAGCGGGAAATGAAACTTAAATATCTGGCGGGAACGCAGGGACGGCGGCCCGGGAGCACGCGCCCAGGCGGAATGCTGGGAGGTCACGGGGAGCCACGACCCGGCCGCCAAGGGGCGGGCCGCCCACGGTGCCCGAGAGTTGCTGACTTTCTCACCCTCCCGTGCACGCGACGTCGCCGGGCGAGGAAGCACACTGAATGCAACCAGAGGGCAGCAGAAAACACTCTCAAGGAGCTTGGAAAGCTTGACAGATTTGCTGGCATTCAGCCTAAAAGAATTTTGGGAAACTACGGAGCTTCTCCCACATTGAAGTTGACAGAGAAAAAAACATTTTTTTTAAAGACTTTATTTGGGTGGCTTAGTCGTTAAGCGTCTGCCTTCGGCTGGGGTCATGATCTCAGGGTCCTGGGATCGAGCCCCCCATCGGACTCCCTGCTCGGCAGGAAGCCTGCTTCTCCCTCCTCCACTCCCCCTGCTTGTGTTCCCTATCTCACTGTGTCTCTCTCTGTCAAATAAATAAAAATCTTAAAAAAAAAAAAAGACATTATTTGAGAGAGAGAGAGAAGGAGCAGGGGGAAGGGCAGAGGGAAAGAGAGAGAAGTGGGCTCCCTGCTGAGCAGGGAGCCTGATGTGGGACTCGATCCCAGGACTCCAGGATCTTGACCCGAGCCGAAGGCAGTCGCTTAACCAACTGAGCCACCCAGGCGCCCATGGCACTTATATTTTAAATAATTTATGCTGTTTTGGCCCTTGTGATTCCAGAGTTCTCCATATAGGTTTTCAAATATTTATTTCTAAAGCCAATTCCTTTACAGAAATACATATTAGACAGAAAACCCCTGGGTTTAGATGCCTTGATTACTTTTTTAAAAACCATCCTAACCATTACTTTTTTAAAACCCTCCTAACCATTAATGTCACAATCCAGTGACATTAAATAATTAATATTGTTGTGCAACCATCACCACCATCCATCTCCCCAGCTCTTCATCTTGTAAAACTGAAACTCTACCCATTAAACAATAACTCCCCATTCCCGCCCTCTCCCTTGGCAACCACCCTTCTACTTTCTTTCTCTATGAATTTGACTACTCCTAGGTACCTCATGTAAGTGGAATGATATATTTGTCCTTTTGTGACTGGCTTATTTCATTTAAGATAATGTCCTCAAGGTTTATCCATATTGTAGCATATGTCAGCCTTCCTTTTCTTTTTTTTTTTTTTAAGATTTATTTATTTGAGAGAGAATGAGCGAGCATGGGGGGTTGGGCAGAGGGAGAGAGAGAGAATCCTCAAGCTGACTCCTCACGGAGCACCAAGCCTATCTCGGGGATTGATCCCAAGACCCTGAGATCATGACCTGAGCTGAAATCAAGAGTCAGCCGCCCAACAAACTGAGCCACCCAGGTGCCCCTGTCAGCCTTCCTTTTTAAGACTGGATGTTTCTACTGAAAGTATATAGCACATTTTGATAGCCATTCATCTGTCAATGGACAAAAATGCCTTGATTACTCTTTTAAAAAGGTTTTCCTAAAACCAATATTTTGATATATCCTCTTTGATACAAAGGTTGTTTTTTGTTCTTTTTTTTTTTTAACACCCCAGGGCAATGAGCCCTAGTTTGAAATGTGATGTGAGAAATCTGTATTTTTTTTTTTTTTTTTAAATGGAAGGAAGACTATTGTGTAGTCAGGCTTGTTCTCAAGCAAACCAATTTCAGGGAAAAGTAAATACAAAGGAAAAGTTTATACAAAGGATCTAAGGGGAGACTATGCCTAGTTGTTCAAACAACAGCAAGTATGGCTGGAGCTTGTGAAGTATGAGATGTTGTGTCAGTTATCAACTTATTGCTTCTCAGACAAGGACTTAATACACCCCTCAATATATGCTGTCTGATAAACAACAGAATTCCTTTAAGCAGTTCTTTCAAAGTGCCCACTATGTTCACCTTTCTCAATAGAGGTTGCAGAAGGACTATGTAGGAGGAAGAGGTTTCCTGCAATTTCCAACATAGTGGAAGGAGTGGAAGGGGATTGCACGGCAAAGGCCAGACTCGTAGATGTGAGAACATCTAGTAGGGCCTACCCCAACTATAGGCCCAGAAAGTGATCCCTCTGGGACCTTGCCACCTTGGCCAGCCATAACCCATCTACAACTTACTAGACAGGGAAACCAAATTGCTGCCCGGCCTGTGGTCCAGAAGGTCACACAACAAGAAGTTGATCCTTCTACAAGCTTGTGTGCAGCCTGCCTGTGGCCAAGGAGGTCCACAGAAAGCTGCTGCTCTCTTTGCAAGCCCCCTATGTTATGTAGCCCATACTCTCTGAAGGGCTTCTGCACTTGAGATCTGAACCGTTTTGAATTTATTCTTACTTGGATACTCTCCCTCAGCCCTAGGGTACCATATATAGTTTCTTTATATGTCATTTCTTTTATTATAGTTACTCTTTTTTTTTTTTTTTTTAGAGTGAAGTATTTGTTTAAGTAACCTCTACCCCCAACATGGGGCTTGAACTCACAACCCCAAGATCAAGAGCTGCATGCTCTTACTAACTGAGCCAGCTAGGTACCCCAATATAGTTAATTATTCTTATATTAAATATCTACAATGTGATTATTTTTTTCTTTTTAAGGTTTTATTTATTTAATTGAGACAGAGAGTGAGAGAGAGAAAGCATGAGACAGGGGAAGGTCAGAGGGAGAAGCAGACTCCCCGTTGAGCGGGGAGCCCTATGTGGGACTCAATCCTGGGACTCTGGGATCATGACTTGAGGTGAAGGCAGAGGCTTAACCAACTGAGCCACCCAGGTGTCCTACTATGTGATTCCATATTCTGACTGGACCCAGACTGCTACAGTTAATATTGGGAGTGGTCCCAGGAGATAGAGGCCTAAAGATGGGATTTGGGAATTGGTTTTGTTGTGCACTTGGGCTTGAGCGCTCAAGGAGGAGGAACCAGAAAAATGAGGAGTGGCCAGAAAAAATAGGAGGAAAACCAGAATAGCTTGATGTCTTGGAAGACAGGTAAAGAGAGTCTATCAAGAAAGGGCTGTGGGGCGCCTGGGTGGCTCAGTTGGTTAAGCGACTGCCTTCAGCTCAGGTCATGATCCTGGAGTCCCGGGATCGAGTCCCACATCGGGCTCCCTGCTCAGCAAGGAGTCTGCTTCTCCCTCTGACCCTCTTCCCTCTCGTGCTCTCTCTCTCTCATTCTCTCTCTAATAAATAAATAAAATCCTTAAAAAAAAAAAAGGGCTGTGAAGGGAAAAAAGCATTCACATATAAAGTGTCCATCTTCTTGACATTTATACTTAAAACTTAATTAAAAATCCAGTCTTGGCTACAGTATAATGAAATAGTCTTACACTGTTAATGCAACCTGACACACACACAAAGCTTTCAGAAAGCTAATTTAGCCGTTATCAAAAATATAAACATTGAGGAATCCTTTTACCTAGTATCTTCATTTATAGAAAGAATCCCATAAATTTAAAAAGAGATATATGTACAAGGATGATGATAATATAAAAAAATTAGAAACAATCCAAATGCCCAGTAATTGGGAGTTGATTAAATAAATTACAGCTAAAATATAATAGATTCATATATACATGGCATAGAGTGAAAAATACATTGTTTAAAAAAGGAGCAAACTGGGGTGCCTGGGTGGCTCAGTCGTTTGAGCATGGGACTCTTGGTTTCAGCTCAGGTCATGATCTCAGGGTTGTGAGATCCAGCTCCACACTCAACAGGAAGTCAGCTTGAGGATTTTCTCCCTCTCCCCCCGACCCTCCCCCCACTCATGCACGTTCTCTTTCTCTATCTCAAAAAAAAAAGCAAACTGAAAAATAATATAATCAGTGTTATATGTGCAAAATGATAGTAGCATGAATAGTTGTATAAAAAAAACTAGGAGGCGGGATACCTTGGTGGCTCAGTCCGTTAAGCATTTGTCTTCGGCTCAGGTCATGATCCCAAGGCTCCTGGAATCCAGTCCCGCATTGGGCTCCTTGCTCAACAGGGAGCCTGCTTTTTTTTCCCTTAGCCGCTTCTCCCTCTGCCTGCCGTCCCCTGCTTGTGCTCTCTCTCTCTCTGACAAATAAATAAAATCCTTAAAAAAACACAAACAAACAAACAAAAACCTAGGAAACATTAGCAACAAAATGCTGACAATAATTACAGAGGTGGGGGATCAGGAAGGCTAACGAAGTTATATCTTCTTTAAGTCTCAAAGTTTTCCATTTCTATTTGATAGATTTTAATAATCATTTGACTAAAACTACCACATGGGTTGTTTCACTAACCAGTTAAAGGTTTCCTCTCTAAGGCAGGCTTTAAAAATGTCCAAAAAAAAAAAAAAAGTCAATTTCCAAAGGCTGGACATTTAATCTTCAACCATTTGATTCCCCTAATTAGCCATCATGAATCTTTCATCCACAAATATATTTTAACTGCTTTCGAATCTCCTCCTATTCAGAGGCTAGTCTTTATAAACAAACAGAAGTCCAGGTGATAGTTTACCAGAAAATTCAAAGAATCTTATAAGGCAAAGTGATCAAAATCATTGTCTGTAGGTGACCAACTGGAGATTAGGGCTGCCAATCGCCGAAAAGGACAGAATATGGCCAAGTAGGAGCCATCAATTCACAGCCATACGTAATCAAAGGCCTCCACGGACCATGAAACAAGGTTCTCACCAGCTGGGCCACCTGCACAGTTACCCGGTCTCGCTTCTGCGGTAAAGTCGCGCCAAAGCCCCAATCAGCGCTGACGCTGGACGTAAACTGCTACGCTGTGACATCAGAACAAAGATGGCTGCGCCTTGAAGGTTTTCCCTCCTAAGTTTTTGCGCCTAGTTCGTGTCAAGTTCAGGGCCAGACTCTGCCTTTCTCCAGCTATGTTTTCTCTCCGAGGTTGTGGTCTCTGTGTTGCGGCTTCCCTCAGCAAAAAGCACCTTCCGTTGGCCCGGTTCATCGGCGACAGCGCGGCGCCCGTGGCTACGAACTTTGACGTGGTAGTCATTGGCGGAGGACATGCTGGGACCGAGGCGGCCGCCGCTGCTGCTCGGTGCGGCTCCCGGACTCTGCTACTCACCCACCGCGTGGACACGATCGGTGAGGAGTTCGGGTAGCGTGGAGCTTGGCGTAGGACGCAAGCTGCCAGTAAGCCCCTTCACCGCTTCCCAGTGGCCTGATGCGGGCAGCCTCTCCTCTCCCCAGGCTAGCGAGAATCCTCGTGTCTGTGGTTTTATCCTAATTTGAGTTTCACAGATTAGGTAGCCCTGGCCCAGAACCCTGGATTAGGCTGTTACGTGGACCATGTATTGTGCTGCTGTTGACAGAAGTAATTAGTTGAGGGAGTTGGGGTCCGTGCTTTGGGAAAGGGGGAAACTAAGAAAACAAGCTGATAGCTTCTTACTTCATTGTCATTTACCCTTTACTAGCTTGTTGCTTTGGAAATGGAGTGAATTAACATTTATTAGGAATTACTTGTTAAACGACACTTGTGTTTTTCTCGAGATTTTGTGAAGCCCTTTTGAAGAACGATGCTACTTTTCTGTTGCATTCTATATCTCTATCTGGTGTTTGTTTCCTGATTTTGTACTCAGGAACTGGCAGTGCTTTTTTCCCGCTTAATAGGCAATGGGTGGACGGCTATAATTTAAAGCAAGACCTCTCTCTAGCACCTTAATAATTCTAGCTAAAACATCATCTTGTAAATCATGCAAACCTATATTTTTTTCCTCCTGCATTTAGCTCGAGTGAACAGTAGAAATATTAACTATTTTGCAAAAATTGTGAATAAATCACATATTTGATACTGAAATACTTTTTAAGAATTACCATTCAGCTTGTAACTGTGGAGAAATATACACTGTTAACAGTGATTCTTTTAGAGGGGGGTGATTTGATTTTTTTTTTTAAAGGTTTTATTTATTTATTTGACAGAGACAGCGAGAGAGAGAACACAAGCAAGGGGAGTGGGAGAGGGAGGAGCAGGCTTCTGGCAGAGCAGGACCCTGGGATCATGACCTGAGCCCAAGGCAGAGCTGAACGACTGAGCCACCTAGGCGACCCCGGGGGTGATTTGGTTACCCAAAAGATTACACTTAGTTTATTATACATTTCAGTGTTGTTTACATTTAAAAAAAAATAAAGACTGGATACTACCTTTCAATAATAACTTAAAAAAAAATTTTTTTTAAAGATTTTATTTATTTGACAGAGAGACAGAGCGAGAGAGGGAACACAAACAGGGGGAGGGGGAGAGGGAGAAGCAGGCTTCCCGCCAAGCAGGGAGCCCGATGCATGGCTCGATCCCAGGACCCCGGGATCATGACCTGAGCCGAAGGCAGACGCTTAATGACTGAGCCACCCAGGGGCCCCATAACTTAAAAATTTAATGAAAAAAGTATTATTGAACTAAGATGATCATTAAATATAAGTAAGATAGTTCTGTGAGGGATAAAGGGATTCTTATCAAAATCCATATTCATATTATTCTACCAATGCAATACAATCCGTTTTCTTTTTAAATAAATGCATTTCAGAGATAATAACTCATAGATGAGCTTAGTGGGTGACAATTTTGTTTTAAATCAAAATCTCATTTGTACGGTAATTTAATATGGTGGAGTATCGTAAATATTTCTACGTGGCCTCAGAAAGATAGCTTTGACTTAGAAGGTTCAATGGACCTAAGAATGCAAAAGGCAAGAATTGCCCTGTTGTGATTTAGTCATTATCATGTACCAATAATGAAATGAGAGGCAGGAAGTCTTTTATTTTCTAACCTGGAAAATAATGGTTTTTTGCCAACTATTTTTGCATTTCACAATGAAAGAGAAAAGCCTTGTGCACTTGTTTATTCTGTGTCTTATTACCTATGCATTTCATGGAAATGTTCAACATTAAAGAGATTGTTAGACATTCTGAATTTCAGTCCAGGCTTCACTGAGTTCTAGCTGTGTGACCTTGGACAAGGGACAATTTATTTAACCCTCAGTTTCTTTCTCTATGAAATAGAAATAACAGTACCAACTTCAGTTTGCTATAAAGTTTAAATCGGAAAATACATGCAAATCATCTGGAATAGTGCTTGACCCATTAAGTGGTTCAGATGTTAAACTATTTTTTTACCATAAGCTTTTCCACATAGCCAACTTAAATTTTTTAGTAGAGTGAAAAATGGACTGATTTATACATTTTTATTATCATTGCCAACCCCAAGTACCACACTTGGGATGTTAGTCTCTACCTAAGAACACAGATGACAAATAGACTTTCTTGTTCCAACTCCATGTGATTGGGAATGAAGGATAGTTTCCTGGAGTTCTATGTAGAGAAAGATCTTGAGGGCTAAGCAAAAAAAAAGTGGCATGTTCAACTTTTATGCCCGTAAGGAGAGGGGCTCAACATTGATAAATATATTTGAGAAAAAGTTTTCAGCGGTTTAAAAAGACAAGGATTTCTTTGCATGTGAGTTTCACAAATGTAAGTTTTACAAATAGGTATATAATGTACAGTAATTCAATAAAGGGCCTGCTTGGCAGGGAGCCTGCTTCTCCTACCTGCTGCTCCCCGGCTTGTACTTGCTCACACTCTCTCTCTGATAAATAATAAATAAATAAATAAATGTGTAAAACAACATGGAATAATGGGAACAGTGGTGAGCTGGAAAGTATATCCTCATTCATTGTTTTGTTTGTTTTTAACAAAAGCTTCATGTATACCAAGCAAAACGTCACCAGCAAATCACTGAGTTATGAGCTCTGATCTAAAAGTATCTGAGGGGTGCCTGGGTGGCTCAGTCGTTGAGCGTCTGCCTTCGGCTCAGGTTGTGATCCCAGGGTCTGGGATCGAGCTCCACATCGGGCTCCTTTCTCCGCAGGAAGCCTGCTTCTCCCTTTCCCACTACCCCCTCTCTCGCTGTGTCTCTCTCTGTCAAATAAATAAAATCTAAAAAAAAAAAAAAAAAAAAAAGGGCGCCTGGGTGGCTTAGTTGGTTCAGCAACTGCCTTCGGCTCAGGTCATGATCCTGGAGTCCTGGGATCGAATCCCGCATCAGGCTCCCTGCTCAGCGGGGAGTTTGCTTCTCCCTCTGACCCTCCCCCCTCTCATGTGCTCTCTCTCTCTCATTCTTGCTTTCTCAAATAAATAAATAAAATCTAAAAAAAAAATAAAAAATAAATAAAATCTAAAAAATAAATAAAAGTATCTGAAATGTATCCTCTCTAAAGATTGGAAGAGGATTACTTAAGAGTGATACAGAGTAATAGAAAAAAATCATACTTGGTGATATCATTTCACATTTCTAATTTCTATTTTGATTACTTATTCATTAATAATTCTGATATTTCAAGTGTGATTAAGTTATGGTGGGTTTTTTTTTTTTCTCTAAACAAAGAAGACCTTGTCTGAAACATTTATAGTTGATACAATGTCTAGAAGAGAAGGAAGTGTGTAGAGCTATAAAGGATGTAAGATTGGACCTGAATGGATACCTGGGAATTCATTATACTATTCTTTCTTACTCTTTAATAAAATAGCTTAACATTGCGGCACCTGGGTAGCTCAGTCAGTTAAGCATCTGACTCTTGGTTCAGCTCAGGTCATGATCTCATGGGTTGTGGGATAGACCCCACATGGGACTCTGCACTCCAGGGAGTCTACTTGAAGATTCTCTCCCTTTGCCCTTCCCTCCACTCATGCTTTCTCTCTCTGTCTCTCAAATAAATAAATCTTTAGGGACACCTGGGTGGCTCAGTCGGTTAAGCATCTGCTTTCGACTCAGGTCATGATCCCAGGGTCCTGGGATTGAGCCCTGCATCAGGCTCTCTGCTCATCAGGGAGCCTGCTTCTCCCTCTGCCTGCCATTCCCCCTGCTTGTACTCTCTCTCTCTGACAAATAAATAAAGTCTTTAAAAAAAAAAAATCTTTAAGAAAGAAATAGCTTCACATTTGTATGTGAAATAATATGTTGAATTAGAAACTCAGGAATTCAAATTGGTTGCTTTCATATAAATTCAGTGATAGGATAAATATTCACCGTGTTTATTGATTTTATGCAATGTATGGAGCACTTTTCTAAGATATTCATGTAGGGATACTTATGTCAATAGTAATATTTTACATGTTTGAGAAGGTCATATAAAAGTTTTTAAATGTTGCTAATGGAAAATTATTTATGATTAAAATTTTTTAAAGCCAATTCGAAGAAATTATGTGATTTTTGAAAAAGTGAAAAGCAGAAGCAGAGAGTATTTTACACTGAGAAATGTTTTACACTGGGTAATAAAACAATTATTAGTAAATGTTATTTATTGCTTATTCTGTGCCAGACACTGTGCTAATTGCTTGGTGTACATTCTCCCATTTGTAAGTAACAAATCCTTATTATTTGATTAATTTAAACAAAAAGAATTTATTTTTTTTAACTTATTTATTTGAGAGAGAGAGAGAAAGAAAGTGAGTGGGGGGAGGGACAGAGGGAGAGAGAATCTCAAGCAGACTCCCTGCTGAGCACAGAGCCTGATACGGGGCTCGATCTCACAACCCTGAAGATCATGACCTGAGCCAAATCAAGAGTCAGACACTTAACCAACTGAGCCACCCAGCTGCCCCAAGAATTTATTTTTTAATAAGAAATTTGCAGGTAGGTCAGTTTTAGGGTTGGTTAATTCAGCAACCCACAATGTCTAAGGACTCATTCCTTGAATGTCTCCATTACGCCATTCTTGAATTGTCTTCAAGCTAGCTATCCTTATGATTACAAAATGGCTATAATAGTTCCAGGTGTTACATCCAGATATGACAACTTCAACCTAAGAAGGGTTTTTTTTTTCCTCCTTGTATCTCTTTGAAGAGGAAAAACAGCCCCCACCCCAATAGGTCACCCCTCATGACTTATTTCCCATCCCTAACCCAGACAGTGGCAAGTAGAAACAGGATTACCATGATTACTTAGATCAATAAAGATTTATTCCTACTGTGTTTAAGTCACACTCCCTGAACACAAAGGCTCCTAGGGAGTGTTTACCTAAATAAAATTGTGATTCTGTATCAAAGGAAGGGGGGAAATAATTTACTGCAGCTATCATTCCTGTTTTTACAGTAGGGAAACTGAGGTAGAGAAAATTAGATAACTTGCCAAAATGACAGAGCTTGTAAGTGGTAGATCTAGGAATTGAGCCAGATCCTTTTCACTCATTCCTGACCCATACTCCTAATCACAGCACGATTCAGCCTCCTTATGGAGACTATAAAAACTTGCAGAGGGCTTGGTGGTGGCTATGGTGGACCTACAGATGTTGACATAGCTTTCCTATCCCTCCACCTCCCATAAAACCTTTGACATAACCACATGAGTTTAGACCTCCAAATAAAACTAGGGGAATTTAAAGAGAAGGTATAAAATATAGTTTCTACTCTCGGGAAGCTTATAATTTAATTATTTTTACAAAATAAGCAAAAAGAAAGCAGCAGGGCGCCTGGGTGGCTCAGTTGGTTGGGTGGCTGCCTTCGGCTCAGGTTGTGATCCTGGAGTCCCGGGATCGAGTCCCGCATCGGGCTCCCTGCTAAGCAGGGAGTCTGCTTCTCCCTCTGACCCTCTTCCCTCTCGTGCTCTCTATCTCTCATTCTCTCTCTCTCAAATAAATAAATAAAATCTTTAAAAAAGAAAGAAAACAGCAGATGGCATTTATGGAAGACAATTGATAACAGTGAATCAGAGCCAGAGGACTTCTTAAAAGTATACTTGATTTGGGGAAGGTTTCATGAAGTAGTCATGAAAGCCACATTTTAAAGGAAAAGGCAACCTAATGAACCAGTAAAAATATGTGTCAAGGAAAAGATTCAAAAGGAACTACAGTCAATGGTTTGTCTTCCAAGATGCCCTGAATGACTCTTGCATCCCATTGGGATTTTCTAATTTTCTCTCTAGCGATTGCTTCAATTTTATTACATGAGATGAGATGATTCTAATCACTTGTACAGACATTTCCCTATTAAACACTCACTACGTACAGGGTGCTCATATATTTTATGTCTGTTCTCCTTAGGTCAGATGTCCTGTAATCCTTCCTTTGGTGGCATTGGCAAGGGGCATTTAATGAGGGAAGTTGATGCCTTGGATGGCCTGTGTTCTCGAATCTGTGACCAATCTGGTGTACATTACAAAGTATTAAACCGGCGTAAGGGACCGGCTGTTTGGGGTCTAAGAGCTCAAATTGATAGGAAACTCTATAAGCAGAACATGCAGGTAAGGATGGGGCAGGAAAACAGGAGAGACTATAGTGATTATTTAACTGTTAGGTTTCAACCTGTGTTCTCTTTTGACAGAAAGAAATCCTAAATACACCGCTGCTTACTGTTCAGGAGGGAGCTGTAGAAGACCTTATTCTTACAGAACCAGAGCCTGAGCACACTGGGAAATGCCGTGTCAGTGGTGTGGTTTTAGGTGTGTACTGGTTATAAATGATAATAACAGTATCAGACTCCGTGTGAAAAATTAATTTTAGAGCAGAACGTGGAGATGTTTTGCTTATTCTAGGAAATTGTTGTGTTTTCTCTTCATGGAAAAGGAAGACTGCATTAAAAAATTATTTTCCTCCTTTCATCTTAATCTTCATGAAGCTCAAATTCTGGGCTCATTTATACCATCTTAGTGTAGTACTTTATAACCTACATAAATGTGTTTTTCTTCTGGTCCTTCTGTTGTAATTTTTATTTTTCCTAGTCCTGACTTTAAGTTTTTTAATTTATACTATACAATGTTATATATATTTTTTTTATTTAAAGGAGTTATGGATTAATTTTTTTAGAGAGGGGGAGGGGCACCAGGAGAGGAAGAGAAAGAATCTTAAGCAGGCTCCATGCCCAGTGCAGAGCCCGATGTGGGGCTTGATCTCACGACCCTGAGATCATGACCTGAGCCAGAATCAAGGGTCAGACACTTAACCAACTGAGCCACCCAAGCGCCCCATGAATTAATTTTTTAATCAAAATAATACATGCACATAACTTTTACAAAAATCAAATAGAATTTAAAAGTTCATATAAAAAACAGTTATCTCTCTTTATAGACTTAACCACTTCAGTTTCACTTTTGATATGTACTTATATATTTCTGAATAATATGCTTATAGTTGTACTCCCTAAATTATTATTAGACATTAATTTTTTATAGTAGCTCTCTTTAATCCCCTACTTTTGTTCCCTCTATCCTTCTTTTTTTTTTTTTTTAAGATTTTATTTATTCATTTGAGAGAGAGAGCATAAGCAAGGGGAAAGGCAGAAGGAGAGAGAGAAGCAGACTTCCCGCTGAGCTGGGAGCCTCACATGAGGCTTGAACCCAGGACCTAGAGATCGTGACCTGAGCCACAGGCAGACTCCCAACAATCCGAGCCACCCAGGCACCCTTCTCTCTATCCTTCTAATGTAATTATGCTATAAATTTTGACTGATAGTATTTATATTATTATGATTATATTGTTATATATTATGATTAAATATTGTTCACTGCAGATCCAAGTAGTGTATTCTGTTTGTTTCCTTTCATAGACCTCTTTTCTTTGCCTTTGGTTAATATTTGCTTTATTTTTAATTTGCTTATTTTACTTGTGGACTTGTTCAGCTTTTTCATTAGGAAAAAAAAACTGTCGGGGCGCCTGGGTGGCTCAGTCGTTAGGCGTCTGCCTTCGGCTCAGGTCATGATCCCAGGGTCCTGGGATCAAGCCCCGCATCGGGCTCCCTGCTCCGCGGGAAGCCTGCTTCTCCCTCTCCCACTCCCCCTGCTTGTGTTCCCTCTCTCTCTCTCTCTCTCTGTCTCTCATGAATAAATAAATAAAATCTTTAAAAAAATAAATAAATTTGCCATTTTTAAGTGTACAATTCAGTACCATTAAGTACATTCACAATGTTGTGCAGCTGTTACCACCACTCATTTCCAGAACTACTTGATCATCCTAAACTGAAACTCTACCCACTAAACAGTAATTCCCCATTACCCAAAGAATAAGGCCAACATTTTCCCATAAGATAGGTCTGTCTACACATAAAACCTTTATAGACTTAACTATTTCGTTTTCAGCCCCAATGTTTGTTCCTACATTCTTCAGTTCTCATTCTCAGTTCTCTGGTTTGCAGGCTTTGAGGGCAAATTATTTCATTCTCATTGGTACATTCTCCTCATATTCTTGAGTTATATCCTTCTCCCCTCTGCTGGATCAGTTACTGCTCTTCCACCTGATTTCTGTCTTCTGAGAATATTTTGAGAGTTCTCATCTTTTGACAAGTTCTCTCCCATTACTTGTCCTTTTGGGTTTATACCTTTTTTTGCCCCTTTATTTCATCTTGGAGTTTTAGGAGGGAGAGGAAATCATGTGAGGGGGGCGCCTGGGTGGCTCAGTCATTAAGCGTCTGCCTTAAGCTCAGGTCATGATCCCGGGATCCTGGGATCAAGCCCCGCATCGGGCTCCCTGCTCAGCGGGAAGCCTGCTTCTCCCTCTCCCACTCCCCTTGCTTGTGTTCCCTCTCTCGCTGTGTCTCTCTCTGTCAGATAAATAAATAAAATCTTAAAAAAAAAAAAGAAAAAACGCTGCCATTTTCTCTATAGTCAAGTAATCTGTCAATTCTGCTTTTTCTTTGATACTTCCCTCCCAGAGACATCAACTTCCTCAACGCCCCCCTCTCCACCACAGGCAATCTGCTATAATCAGGACAATTGCTCTCTAGGCCCTCTGCACAGACGTTATTTTGAGCCTTCCTTTTACTACTGTGCTGTGTTACATCATCCCATGTTTCTTGAGACTTCAGTCTTGTTCTTTCTTACTGCTTCATTTTGCTGGAGCATATCTTCCAGTAGCTTCCTAAGAAAAGAAACAAGGAAGGCGTTTTTTGTGTGTGTGTGTTTAAGCATATCTCAAAATGTCTCCCCTTACTTGACTCTTAATTTGTCTGAGAACAAAATTTTAGTTAAATTTTTTTTTCTGAGAATTTTGACAGTCTTGTTCCATTATCTTTTAGCTTCCAGTTTTGCTATTAAAAAGCTCAGTGTATATTTGGGGCACCTGGCTGGCTCAGTCAGAGCATGCGATTCTTGATCTTGGGGTTGTGAGTTTGAGCCCTATATTGGGTATAGAGATTGCTTAAAAATAAAATCTTTAAGGGTGCTGGGTGGCTCAGATGGCTTAAATGTCTGCCTTCTGCTTGGGTCATGATCCCGGGGCCCAGGGATCGAGCCCTGCATTGAGCTCCCTGCTCGGCAGGGAGCCTGCTTCTCTCTCTCCTTATGCTGCTTCCTCTGCTTGTGTTCTCTCATTCTCTCTTTTGAATAAATAAATAAAAACTAAAAAATAAAATCTTTAAACGAAAAACATTTTCAAAAATAAATAAGATAAAATCTTTAAAAAAAAAAACAGATGAACATATGTGGTGGGGGAAGGAGAGAGGGAAACAAACCAAAAGAGACTTTTTTTTTTTCCACAAGAGACTCTTAATACAGTACAAACTGAAGGTTGAATGGAGGGAGATGGGTGGGGGATGGGCTAGATGGGTGATGGCAATTAAAGAATACACTTGTGATGAGCGCTGGGTGTTGTATGCAAGTGATGAATCACTGAATTCTACTCCTGAAACCAATATTGCACTGTATGTTAACTAAAATTTACATAAAATTTCTTTTAAATCAGTATGGACTAGAAGAAAAAAAATAAATAAAATCTTTAAAAAAGAAAAAAAGCTTGGGGTGCCTGGGTGGCTCGGTTGGTTAAGTGACTCTTGATCTCAGCTCAGGCCTTAATCTCAGGGTTGTGGGTTCAAAGCCCCACATTGGGCTCTATGCTGGGTGTGGAGCCTACTAAAAAACAAACAAAAACCAACAATAAAAAAAAGCTCAATGCATATTTACATTTTTTTGTATATGAAAGGATTTTTTTCCTTTCTAAAAGCTGGGATCTTGTGTTTGTCTTTGTTGTTCTGAAATTTGAAAGTAGTGTCCTTTAGTCTGCTCTTTGTTCATTCATTATGGTGGGATACTAAGTGTTCCTTTTTATTTTTTTTAAATAATTTTTTATTGTTATGTTAACCACCATACATTACATCATAAGTGTTCCTTTTTAATCTGGTAATCTGTCCTTGATCTGTATATTTTCTTCTATTATTTCTCCATGCTTTCTTTCTGTAACTCCTGTCCCTTTCTGGATTGGTCTTCTGGGCTTTTTCTATTTTTATTTTTTTGTCATTTTGACATACTTTCTTAGAAGCCTTCCTTAAATTTATTGTCCAAATCCTTGTAATGAATTTTTAAATTTGACCGTATTTTCATTTATAAAGTGTCCTTTTTTTCTGATTGTTTTTTAGCATCTTGTTTTGTTTCTGAATTTAATATCTTCTTTAATCCATATAAAGATTTTAATTATTGATTTTTGAAGTTTCCTTTGATCTATGTGTTGTTTTCTCCAGATTCTTTATTCTGTTCATTTGGCTGCTTATTTTCATGTACATGGCCTTCCTCAAGTGTCTAGGGAACTTCAGCTGTCAGGTTTTTATTTTTATTTCTTTTTATTATTTATTTTTTAAAAGATTTATTTATTTATTTCAGAGAGAAAAAGAGAGCACAAACAGGAGAGGGAAAAGAGACTCTCAAGCAGACTCAACACTGAATGCAGAGTCTGACGTTGGGCTTGATCTGGGGACCCTTAGATCACATCCTGAGCTGAAACCAAGAGTCAGATGCTTAACCGACTGTACCACCCAGGAGCCCCCAGGCTCTCAGATTTTAAATGAGACAGTAAAACACTGGATGATTTCTGTGTGCACAGTTAAATTTTATTTCTTGCCCTACTCTATAATCTGGTGATTAGGGGTTGGACTGGCCTTTTTGTTGGTGAGCTACCAAACATCAATGACTGATTTAGTAAAAGAATCAGTCTTCTGCCAAGGGGGATAATATGGCTGCCAGCTGGCATTCTGGGAACAAAATGGTAAGAGGACTGTGATAGAGAATCTCATCATTTAAAATACAGTTCTTGGGCGCCTGGGTGGCTCAGATGGTTAAGAGTCTGCCTTCGGCTCAGGTCA